TAAGACAGAGGCAGATCTATCTTCAGGTATGAGGTGAGGAGGAGAACAGTTGGGATGGGATACAATTTAGTGTAAGGAGAAAATATGTGTGTGTGTGTAAATATATATATACTAATTTTTTATGAGAATAAGAATTTGCTTAACATCAAAATGCATTTTATACAAACTTTCCAAGTTATAATGTGAAATGTAAGCTGCCCAATTCTCCTCTTCTAATTCTACAGCAGGGTTTCTCAGCCTTAGCACTATTGATATTTTGGAAATGATTCTTTGTTGTTAGGTTGTCCTGTGCATTATAGGGTGTTTAGTAGCATCTCTGGCTTTTACCCACTAGATGCCTATACTAGCTGGAGTTGTAACAATCAAAAATATCTCAGATATTGTTAAATGCCCCCTTGGGGGCAAAATCACCCTTGGTTGAGAACTACTATTCTGTATTGTAGCACTCTCTTCTCTAAGTTTTATCTAAGGCCTAACCTTTTTATGTAACTTAGATAAAAACTATGCTTGGATGAAAATCATCTGTATAGTTATATCTGATAACCTGTATAGGTGGCTGTCACTGAGGGCCCTTTCTCATATCTGTAGAAGATGTCTAATAAGGTGTTGGTGTGTGTAGCTTTAGAGGCTCTTGGATTCCATGAGTATTGCCAAGACATGGTCTCTTCCCAGGAAATGAAATCATTCCTTCCCATATATGAGGGCATTCATTGTTTTTTATATCCTTTATCCAATCCCTCTTTCAATTCCCATCCCCTACAACACAATCTGGGTGTTGTTGAATATTTATATCAATTTATGGCCTAACAAATAAGTTGGAGAATTGGGCAGAATATTTCCCAAACAAAACTGATGACTCAGTTCTATTCTGGGTCCCAAGTGCATTTGTTATTGTGTTTGAGGAAAGTATTTGATTTAACAAGTTGTGCATAATCCCATCTTTTGCACTTGCGGAAGTTATATAAAAAGGATTAATGTGCTAAAAATAATTTATGTGGTAATAAAATAAATGGTAAGTTGTAAATTATTTGGGGCTTCTGTTGCTTCAGCAGTTTGGTCTATTAAGAAAAGTAAGACACTCAGAGTCAAAGCAATGGCTTGTAAAACCCTAGAATTATCTTCTAAAGTTGAGAAATTTACTTGTACTTTTCTTCTGAGAGTTAGGGTCCCTGGAAATATTGAACTTTATAAAGCCACAAAATTTTTCTTGGTAAATAATGTGAAATTGGAGATGGATATGAGCTGTCAGACCATTTCCAAAAGAACATTAGATGCTCTACTGCTTTATGAAATAATTGGTGTATTTAATCACTGAATAAATTATGCTGGTATTTTGTGTTTGTTTTCTTTAATCAAAAGTTTTTGAGTACCTCCTGGATGCAGAATACCATATTAGGCTTTCTTAAGAAGCATAAGATTAGATTACTGAAGGTCTAGTGGTGTGCCGGTAAGCAGCTAACTGCTTTCCAGGAAGAACAAAACAAAAAAGCCCTGATTTGTAGCATTTGCTGATTTCCACCACAGCCAATTTCAAGCTACTGACATGATATCTCTGAACATGGAGTTGGATGGCACAGTGGCTTCCACTAGTGGTTAAACTGGTTCCAGCACACCACTGTGGCAATTTTTGACCTCAAGCACTAGAAGACCCACACATCAAACAATTAAAGTAGTATATACACAGCAGTTCTTCCAGTACAAGTTAGGAGGTTGTTAATGTTAGAAACTTGTAAAGGAGCACGTGAAATGTTGAAAGTTGCTGACTAGACAGGGTAACAGAGCCAGTTTGGATTAGAATTTGGAACATTGCCTGGGAATTTTGAGCCTGTGTTTAAGGTTCTGAGAGAATGATTTATCATTCTAAGTATAAGAAACAGGGTGAACAAAAGCCTGGAGATAGATAAAAGCTTTTCTCTTAGGGAAATGCAAATAAATGAACCTGGCTGAGGTAGAGGGTTCATTTGGGGAGAGGGAAGAATTAAGATTTATGGGAAAAAGAAATAGCTGTTGATCATGATTATTAGGCTAAGAAAAATAGCTTAATGCTTCCTGACCAGGGCATGTCCCTGATTAAAAACATCATTTGAAAAATATTACTATCAGTTATAATGTAGTTATAATGTATAAGGTAGCTGAAAATATACACCATGAGTTATAAGAGAGAGATGAGAGACAGAAAAACTAGGAACATGTTATGGTATTCTGTACTCGAGGTGATAAGTAGTGTGACAATGTAAATGTAAAGGAATGGGCCAAATTGAATTTGTCCAGTGATGGGGAACAGAGAACTGGAAAGAAAGAGTAAAAAATGATGAGAACAATAACATAGCAAATAGTTATAAGAAAATTGGGATAGGTGTCTATTGGAGCAATAGCCTAATTAGTTCCTTTTTAATTCATTTTATTTCAGTGATAATATCTATGAAATAAAGGGGTTAAAAGAAGGTTGGGGGATATAATAGAAAGAGTTGAGAGTCATCTTCTTAAATGAAATGATATGATTTAATGAGAATCTAATCTCTAATGATTCTCTGAAGAATCTTTACAGTCTAACCTCTTTGAGGATATGCCAAAAGCTCAAGTACAACATGAATCTTCTGAAATAGATTAAATTTTAGAATGGGCAGTTTAAAGTTGATATATGTAATGTACAGTCTTGTCCTTCATAGTATTTTACCCTGTTTATAATTTTCAATCATAGGTTATGGCACACAGCCTGTTTGGGAAAAGAAAATGAAATAATGGTATTTGGTGGGAGCAAAGATGATATACTTTCCTTGGATACAGTAAGAAAATTTCATATGTAAATATTTCCTCTAAGTAATTTTGTTTTTGAAACTAAATGGCTATTCAACAAGATTGCTGATAGTCCCACATTCCAAAGTATGGAAGGCATGAAATGTTACTCTGTGGTGTGATTAATCTTCATAATGAGTGCCTTTTGTGAAGCATTACAGTATATTTTGAGTTTACAAATCAGAATAGGTCTATTAACTTCATTAATCAAAGTATTAAGGAGTTTTTAAAGGATGACTGTACCTTTTCTCTGAGTCTCACCATACTATGGGTGCTTATAATACTATTGAATTAAAATATTTGTGAATTATATTTGATGCATAAAAATACATACAATGTATATGTAAACTACTAAGTATAGTAATAAGTACCCATAGAGTTTGCTACCTAACTTAATAACTAGAACATCATCAATGCTAGCTTCTCCCCTTAAGAGGAAACTACTTTGAAGTGTTTAAAGTGTATTTTCTTTTTATTTTATACATCTTATGCCATTGCTTCACTCCTGTTTTACATTTCAGTTTAAAAGCATTCCGGTTTTAAAACCTGATAAAATTAAGGTCAAAGGAAGAAATGAGTAGCATTTGGAGAGGATTGTTTTTTCACTCCTAGCACCTTGGGAAATTCAGAGGAGGGTGGCAATACTTACACAGTGTCTTTGTTGGAACAGGACTTCAGGATTGGTTCCTCTGGTTTGCCTGAGACATTTGCAAATAGCAGAAATCTAAGCTGTCAGGGATGGGATACATGCCAGAATTCAACCAAGATGGTGCTGGCTCCCTTACGTACATCTCTTCAGTTATCTCAGAGTGGTTCCTGGAGTGGTGAACCCTGAAATGAAGTGGCTTCTCTCCAGAGAGTTTGGTTTATTTTATAGTTCTGAGGCTTCCAACTTAAATATTACATATGTTGAAAGTTTTAGAACTTTCTTTGGCTGAGAATTCAGTGCTTCAACAAAGTGTTACAACCACAAATTTGCATATAAATAAAACGCAAATTTTGTAGTTTGTCTTCTTTTTCTTGGCACTAGAAATCTTTGGGATACAAAGTTTATGATTAAAATAGGAAGTCTGATTGAAATCAAGATCATAAATTATGAAATTTTAAAGACTTATTTGAAGGGATTGCAGAAGTTTTCTGCTGACTCTTCCATGTGAATTTTTAGATGAAAGAATCATTTTTTAAAAATCCACTGTGTCTGTGATTTTCAAATGAAGGTCTCAGGGAACCCTGGGATCACCTGAAAAAGGGAGACAGGATAAAGAGATGTTAAAACAAGGATCATTTGAAAGAAAAAATTCTGCTTAAAAAACAAAAAAGCTTGAAAACTACTACTAGTCTCATTTTGAACTCACTGTTGAAAGAGAAAAACACTTTTCATGATTTTTAAAATTTGCAATTATATAGACTGTGGTTAGGTAAAAATTTGGTCACTGAAAAAATGGTAAACATATCCAAAGTTTGTGTGCATATAGTGGGTATGTGTGCTTGTGCGCTTGTGTGATTGGAGACAGATTTATTTGTTCCTTTACATAATTTATTTTACATTTACAAGACAATATTCAATTATTAATGCATTGTTATTTTTATCAAAAAATCCTGACAACTCCTTTTTTGTTGATTAGGGTCACTGTAATGATTTACTTATCTTTCAAATACAGCCTTATTCACTACTTAGGTAAGTAATCCATTATTTTTGCATATATATGCTATCAATATATGATAATTTCTAATTTCCTCCTTTTTGGGAATATCTTTCGGGTAGTTTATGACTTAATTTAAGAAAATGTTTACATCTACTTAAAAGTATAAGCAAACTTATAATGGTGAACCATATGCCAGTGATTTTTAAAAACTAAATTACAGTACAGTCACATTTTTGTTTTGTTTGTAAAATTGCATTTAGTTCATATGGGAATATTAGACATACTGCATTCCCTTGATTCCACATCTGACTTTTTTCATATTCTGAAATCAGAGTGTGTCTAATGATAGACAAACATACAGTATACATTTAATTTAGGAGAATTTCTTTAATTGGTCTGTTGTTTGGCTCAAACTTTGGAATTTTTGAAAGATGCCAAGGTTATTCTAAAGTACAGGCATAAACTTTGAAATTGCTGCTGTCATGATTTGTACTGCTTTGTACTGTTACTTAATTTTTTGCTGTGCACATGATTTTTCCTAAGTACATTGCAGGCACAGAAAGGAGATGATTGGCTGACTTTCACCATGTTTGGAGTTTAGCCAGGGTGGTTTAACAGAGGGATAGTGGAGAAGGGGATTTAATTTGCTGGCAAGAGAATGGAGCACATGTGGACTACGTGGCTTAGGAAGGAAGTTATAACTGGAGGGTCTTCTTACTAGAAGTGGGAAGAGTTGAAGGAGTAAGAGATTGTAAGAGTTGAAAGAGTACATCTTATAAAAATTAAAATGTATTTACCAAGAACATTCATATAATCTGTAAGTATATGGTAATAAAAAATCACCTGTGAACCACAATGATCATTGTTATGAGTTTGGTGTGTATCCTTCCAGACTTTAAAATGGAAAATGTTGTGGATTTAACTGTCATTTTTTTAAGAGGTCATTGGAAGCCTTAGAGTAGTACACGTGTGTGTGTGTGTGTGTGTGTGTGTGTGTGTGTGTGTGTGTGTGTAAAGGGTCAAATGATGCATGCTGTTTACAACCTGCTTTTAGAACTCACATTGTGGATATCTTTCATGTAAATGTAAAATCACTCAGTGTAATAGATCTACATTTATGTTTGCAGTGGCTATATAGTGTTGTATTTCATGGAAGTACAATTTATTTATTAGTCTATTGAAATATATTTAGGATATCTATAATTTGGGGCTATTATAAAAACTATGTGTATAATATTCTTGTATATGCCTATAGAAAACTTTCATATCTCTTCAGGAGAATTTCCTAGAAGGGATGTTGATGAATCACAGCATATGCACATTTTGTATGGTGAAGACTATTCAGTGGCTCCCACTGCCCTTAGCAAACTGCAGATCCCTACCAAGGTCTTCAGGGCATCCACCTCCTCTCTGCCTCATTTCTTGCTGTGCCCCACTCTCACATTCTGCCCTCCAGCTGTTTTTGAACCACTGAACTGCAATTACTATATTAAATCTTATTTCTCATCTCTAGGGCTTTGCAGGTATGGTTCCTCCATTGGAATTCCTTTGTTTAATTTGTTGAGAACCTCAAGGGGTCTACAAAGTTTCCTCTGGCTTCCTGAGGTTGTCTTGGTTTTTCTTGCTATCTGATTCCATTCTATCCCAGTCACAACATTTATATAACACTTTATTGTTAATTGTTTATCTTCTTCACTAAACTGTAATCTCCATGAAGGTTGAAATAGGATTTTTCTCAATATTGGGCTTCCTGCTCCTAGGTAGCGCTCGCTAATGCCTAAGTGGTGAGTGAGGGACCGAATGGTAATGACGGAGCCCCTCTCCTCACCTGACCCTCCCCTTCCCCACTGTGCAGGGCGCACAGGAGCTCTTGACTGTGCCACCGCAGCAGCAGAGTTAAGTTTACACCAAGTATAAAACTCACTTCATTTTCTTGTACTTCCTCTGTACCTGTGTGGAACATTTCACTCTTCTTATTTAGAGTTTTCATGGAGAGAAAAGCCTTCATGAAATGGAAGATATAAATCTCGAGTGTACATCCTTGTAAAAATGACCACTGAGGTTAACCACTAGAAAATCAAATGAATCTTTTTTTTTATTTCAGAAAGATTTACTTACCTTTTTGATTTAAAGTTTATCAGTTAAAATAGAAGCTTTTTTTTTTTTTTTTTTTTTTTTTTT